GCAGATCTCTCTGTAGCTCCTGCCGGGTCACCTGGGCAGTGGCTGACTTTGCACTTCCCAGGAGGCCCCAGAGCCAGTGCACCCAGTGGACAGCTTCTGACCATACCAGATCACAACTCTATGCATCCACAAGTGACACACTTAAGGGGCAGACTCAGGGAGCACGAAAGCCAAACTGAAGCAATTCCTGCTCCATATGGTATCTTTTGCACAGCAGCTCTCCCACTGTAGTTGCAGCTGCTCCTCACAGCTAATTGGCCTGGAGGTTAATTCCTCCCAGTTATGTCAACAGCAATCAAGGTTCAACTAACAAGACTATGCACACCACACAGGGGTGCACCTAAAGTGTCCAGAGCTCAGGTCACTGGGGAGTCTGTCACTGGGACCTACAGGACACCTACTACATACATAAAAGGCCACTCCACCAACTCCAGGAGACATAGCAGCTCTACCTAATACATAGAGACAAACATAGGGAAGCAGCCAAAATGCGGAGACCAAGAAACATGTCGCAGATGGAAGAACAGAAGAAATCTCCAGAAAAAGACCTAAATGAGACGGAAGCAAGCAAACTACTGGATGTAGACTTCAAAACAATGGTTATAAAGTTGCTCAATAATCTTAATGAGGATGTCAAAGACCTAAAAAAGGGCCAGTGAGAAATAAGGATACACTAACTCAGTGGTCGGCAAACTCATTAGTCAACAGAGCCAAATATCAAGAGTACTTCTTCAAAATAGACTCGCCCAGGCCGAAAACCGACTTCTGCGCATGGGCCACAAAGTTTCAATCACACTGTACGTGCATGCCGCACGCGGTATTTTGTGGAAGAGCCACACTCAAAGGGCCAAAGAGCCGCACGTGGCTTGCGAGCTGCAGTTTGCAGACCACTGCACTAACTGAAATGAAGAATATTTAAAGCCAATCAAAAGTAGAGGATACTGAGAATCAAATCAGCGATTTGGAATATGAGGAAGGAAAAAACACCCAATCAGAAGTGCAAAAACAAAAATGAATCCAAAAATATGAAAAAGTGTAAGGAGCCTCTGGGAACGTCAAGCATACCAACATTCGCATTATGGGGGTGCCAGAAGGACGAGAGAGAGAGAAAGATACTCAAAACTTATTTGAAGAAATAATGACAGAAAACTCCCCTACCTGGTGAAAGAAATAGACTTACAAGTCCAGGAAGCACAGTGAGTCCCAAACAAGAGGAACCCAAAGAGGCCCACACCCAGACACATCATAATTAAAATGCCAAGAGCAAAAGACAAAGAGAGAATCTTAAAACAGCAAGAGAAAAGTAGTTAGTTACTTGCAAGGGAGCGCCCATAAGACTGTCAACTGATTTCTCAATAGAAACTTTGCAGGCCAGAGGGAATGGCAAGAAATATTCAAAGTGATGAATAGCTAAGACCTACAACCAAGAATACTCCACCCAGCAAAGCTCACATTTAGAAATGAAGGTCAGATAAAGAGCTTAATGACAAGAAAAAGCTAAAGGAGTTCATCACCACCAATAAGTATTACATGAAATGTAGAAGGGTATTCTTTAAGAGGAAGGAGAAGAAAAAAGATAAAAAATATGAACAATAAAATGGCAATAAATACATATCTATCAACAAGTGTATCTACAAATCAAAATATATAAACAAGAAATCTAATTAACAAAATAAAGTGATGAATAAAATAGAACCAGAGTTATGGAAACATGGAACAGACTACAAATCTCAAAGGGAAAGGGGCAGAGGGGAGTGGGAAGCGATTAAAGAAAAAACTTATATATATATGTATTACCTATGGACACAGACAACAGGGTGGTGAAGGCCTGAGGCGGAGTGGGAACCAGGGGAAGGGGGGCAATGTGGGGATAAAAGGGGTACATCTGAAATACTCTCAACAATAAAGACTTTTTAAAAACCCCCACACAGTGTGCTGTCATAAAGACAGACATATAGGCCAATGGAACAAAACAGAGAGCCCAGAAATAAACCCTCACATATGTTGTCAAATGATTTTTGACAAGTGTGCCAAGACCATTCAATGAAAAGAGGGTAGTCTTTTCAACAAATAGTATCAAGAAAACTGAGTATCTACAAGAAAAAGAATGAAGTTGGACCCTTACCTAACACCTATGCAAAAATTAACTCAAAATGGATCAGAGACCTGTGTGTAAGAGCTAAAATTATAAAACTCTTAGAAGAAAACATAGGGAAAAAGCTTCACAACACTGGATTTGGAATGATTTCTTGGATATGACACCAAAAGAATAGCAACAAAAAATTTTTTTAAAAATTGAACTTCATGAAAATTTAAAATTTTGTGCATAAACAGACAAGGAATTAATACCCAGAACTTAAAGAGAACTTCTAAAACTTAACAGTAACAAAATCCAAACAATCCAATTTAAAAAAGGGAAAGGACTTGAATAGACATTTCTCCAAAGACAGACAAGTGGCCAACAAGCATATAAGAAGATTTTCAACTCACCAATCATTAAGAACATTCAAATCAAAACAGCAATGAGATACCACCTTGCCCCAGTTGTTAGGATGGCTACTTATCAGAACAAGAAAATAACAAGTGTCAGTAAGGACGAAGAGAAACTGGAACCCTTTTACACTTTGGTTGGCGTGTAAAATGGCATAGCCACCGTGGAAAACAGTTTGGCAATTATCATATGATCCGGTAATTCTAGTCCTGGATATACACCCAAAAGAACTGAAAGTAGGGACTCGAAGAGATGTCTGTACACCCATGTTCATAGCAGTGTTCTTCACAATAGCCGAGGGTGTAAACAACTCAAGTGTGCATTACCAAGATGTGCAACAAATGGAGTATATTATTCAGCCTTAAGAAGGAAATTCTGGCCGAGACCGGTTTGGCTCAGTGGATAGAGCGTCGGCTTGCGGACTGAAAGGTCCCAGGTTCGATTCCGGTCAAGGGCATGTACCTGGGTTGCGGGCACATCCCCAGTGGGAGATGTGCAGGAGGCAGCTGATCGGTGTTTCTCTCTCATCGATATTTCTAGCTATCTCTCTCCCTTCCTCTCTGTAAAAAATCAATAAAATATATTTAAAAAAAAAAAAGGAAATTCTGACACGTGCTACATCGCCAGTCACAAAAAACAGAGACACTGCCTGATCCCACTTACATGAGGCACCTGAGGAGCCAGTTCATAGCAACGGAGAGTAGAATGGTGGTTGCCAGGGGGGGAAGTGGTGGGATGGGGAGTCATTGTTTAACAGGGAGAGCTTCAGTTTTACAAGGTGAAGAGTTCTGAAGACGGATGGTAGTGACGGTTATACAACAATATGAATGCACTTAGTGGCAGAGAATCGTACACTTCAAATGGTTAAGAAAGAAAGTTTAGTTGCGAGTGGGACGGCCTGGCTCCTGGTCAGGACCTGGGCTCCAGACCCAAGGCCTCCATTGAGAGGGGGCAGCAGCAGGGCTGGCTGCAGGGCAGGGATGAGAAGACACCTGTCACTCTCAGCTCCTCATTAGAAGGGTCACGTGAGATGACTGCACAGCTCCCTCGTTAGGAAGGTAAAAAGTGCAGACAAAACTGAGCTCTGACTACGTGAATTATGGATGAATTGTCTATTTTATAAATCGAACTCCCTTTGTCTTCTAGGCCTTCACTGCGGCCAGGAACCACCCAAAGGCCCCTGCTGGAGGCAAGAAGAGGGGAGGGGACTCCCAATCCTTCCAGATGGGGGTCAGGAAAGGGATCAGTGAGGAGGCTGTGGGAGCAGAGGGGAAAGGGGAAGCTGCAATGGAATCGGGAGCAGCAGTCCCCAACGCCTCACCACACCTGATGCACACATCTCCCACCTCGATGCTCACGTCTGTCTGCAAGGAGAGTGGTTCTCACCCAGGGGCCGTTTTGTCCTCCAGGGGATACCTGGCTGTGTGCAGAGACTTTAGCGAGTCACAACTGAGGGGCGAGGTGTGCTACGGGAATCTATAGGTGGCAGCCAGGGACACTAAATTCCCTGCAACACATAGGACCTCCCCCCTCCCCCCCAGCACACACACACAGAGTGGCCTGAAGTGTCAACAGTGCTGAGGGCCCACAGGCCGTGCTCTGGAAAGGCGGGCAGAGGCAGCTTTGCTGGGAACTCTGGGAAAGCAGGACTCCTGCTGTGATGCCCCCACCTTGTCGAAGGAGCAGCGCAGGGCGTCACCTGCTGACTCCTCCTTTCCTCAGGAGCAAGGTCAGGCTCTGCTAGCTTCCTGCTTTTCTAATCGCACCGCTGCCGGGCCCCGCCCCACAGGCAGTCCTGGAGCAGCTCGGGCCCTTCCCCACGGAGAGGACCACCAAGGCACCCGCCTCCCACCCTGCCTCTCCTGCCAGAGCTTGGGTTTCTACCTGCTCTCAGTAGCAGGTTCATCAGATCTGAGTTTATTTTAAACCAATAAGCACTCTAGCCAATAGTCCTTTTTCCTATTTTCTGCCCGATTCTAAGCTACTCTTAAAGAAAACATGAGCGGCAGCACAGGCTGTTGAAATCTTGGCTTCGGGAGTTCAGATCCCTGTATGCTCTTGGGCAGGTTAAACGCGGGTAACTGTCCTCAGCCACAGGGATGCTGCCCTGAGTAAATGAGTCAACACCACCAAGTGCAGAGAACGGTGCCTGGGACCTGGCGGCACGTGGTGAGTCGGCCATCAGTACCGTGGATGCCCCGAGAACCCAGTTCCGACCCAGCAAGCTGCTAACCCAGCAGGCAAATCTCCTTAGCGTTTCTGTGAAAGAAGACAAGCCGCTTTCTAACAAAGTCACCTTCCCTTTGGGAATAAACAGAGTTACAACAGACCCCGCTGTAACTTGCCGTGACTTCGCTATCTAGTTGGTCACTTTTATCTTTAGGAAAATGCTTTCGGAGAAATGAGGCCCAGCTACAACACACACGATGAGGAAGCCCGTGGGGTCCAGCGAGTTCTGGCCTGCTGGCAGGGCCCCAGGTGCGCCTCAGCCATGTAACAGGATACATACCTTGCTCCCCGTGAGCTGTGCGAGGTGAGGTTTCAGCTCTTCTCCGATTACGGAATAAATTGCCACCAAGCAGAACACACTGGCCTTCCGCACACTACTTTCAGTGTTGTCATAACCCTACAGAGTCGGAGGGGAACACAGAAAGGAAACGAGATCAAAGATTCGTTTCACCGTCAATATTTCAACATTTCCACAAGTGCCCTCAGAGCTCAACCTTGGACTTGTCAAAACAACCAGGGTGTAACTCAGCTCTGCACCTGATCCGGAGAGCTTCCCGGAGGCTGGGAGCTGCGGCCGACCTGCCCCGCCCGGGCCACTGCAAGGAACTGCCACAGCAGTCCCCAAGCCTCGAAGGAGACAGAACAAGGAGGAGGCGAAGGGGGACAATAACTTGCTTCTTTCTACTTTCCGGTGGTAAAACAAGTTTCATGTGTGAAAACCCTTTAAAGAAATGAGAACTACACACTCTCGAGCCCGGACATCAGTTAGCACCGGCTAGAGCTGGACCTCAACCTACCGTCGCCTCATCCACACCCCACCCCACCCCACCCCCGGAGGGACCTGCCTGCTGTTCCCCACACAGACTCCAGGACTTCCCAGCCACTGTCGTCCCCCCTGCCTGGCGTAACCCAGGCCCCGTGCTCAGCAAACAGCAGCACCACACGTGGCTCTGATTTCTCTCTCTCCTGCCCCACGGAACTCTCTCTCCAGGACCCCACGCGACACCGCCTCCCGGATGAGCCCTTCTCTCCTTGCCACCTGCCAGGAACCGCCACTCCTGCTCTGTTCCCAGCTGTCAGCTCGCACCTCCCTGGGTAGCTTAGCACAGCCCGGCATTTCCGCTCGTCGGTGCAGGCTGACGGCCCCTGAGGTGATGCCTATCAGTGGAGACCATCTTCCCCCCAGAGCCTATCTAACTCCACGTCTCATGCTCAGGAGGGTTTCAATCCACATTTGCTGGGTCGGTGAGAGCAAGGACCACTGTCTGATTTCCCACTCCATGGCCCACCTGCCCAGGGCTGGGGCCCACAGATGTGCAAAAAGGGTTTGTTGAAGGAATGAACAACAACAAAAATGATCCAAATATGTTTACAGTAAACAGAGTTCATTCTCCAGCCCAGTTCCAGGCTGCCAGGACACTTCCTTGCTGCACTCCGGGGAGGGTAGACTGGGAGCCGAGAGAGAAGACGTGAGGCAGCCACACCACACAGCTTCCCAGGTTCTAAAAACAGGTCACCTCCCAACTTTCCCTACCTGCCCCGCTTCAAGCGAGCAAGGGAAGCCAGGCCCCGCGCCCAGCCCGCAGGCACCGCGCCCAGCCCACCTGCAGCAGGCCCGGGATGATGTCAGCCAGCAGCTGCAGCAGGGACTCCCTGGCGATCCTCTCGACGACCTTGGTCTGCATCTTGATGGCAGCCAGGTTGATGGGGTAGTCGGCCGTCTGGATGATGGGGCAGAGCACTTTGATGCACTGCTCCGGGTGGATGGAGCTGGCCAGAGTGGACGCAGCTTCCTCGGCGGCTCTCACCACCTGAAACACAGGTCCCCCCCGAGCGTGAGTGCCACAGCCAGGAGCAGCCAGAACAGTGCTCCTAATTCCAGAGCCGAGCGACATACTTCGCTCAATGCCGCCGTCACTGCCTCGGGCCAATGTTGTTCCAGAAGTTTGAAGGGTAATTTCCCAGGGGTATGGAGGCCCTGGGAAGGCGGGTACAGTGGATTTTGGCAAAAACCTTAGAAAAGTGGTTCTCTGAGTGCAGCCTGCCCCACCCCTCCACCGCAGCAGCAGCCGCGACCTCCTTAGGAGGGCCACCTCCCCGGGCCCCAGACCTGCGGCCTCAGACTGTGGGCTGGGGCCGCAGCTGTGTCAAGCACTCGGAGACTCTTAGGTGCAGGGACATTTGAGAGTCTGCCCGAGGAGATCGGACCCGAGAACAGAAACACTCCCCACGTCTGTGGGCCCCACAGCAGGAATAACGAGAGAAATGGAAGGAAGTCGGAGTGGCCACAGCACGCGGGTTCCAGCTGCAGGGAGGGTCCCGAGCAGCCCTGGGAAAGCTGCTCGTCCGGCTCACACGCTCACCTCACTGCAGAGGAGCAGCTGGCCTCTGAAGGGCCCCGGCGCACTGGGACACACGAAGGGCCACAGGCACCCTGTCATAGGGGAAGCCGAGTGCAAAGCCCAGAGAACAGGACGGGCAGGGGCTTGGGCTCAGAGAGCTGGAAGCAAACCCTAGCCCATCATCCACACAGGCGAACCCCACCTCCTGGTCCGTAAAACCAGGTCATGTGAGGAGGGATGGAGATATCTGGCCAGTCAGTAAATGACAGTAACTACTATTGATAAAAAGGAGTACATACATAAACGATATGTGAAAACACCAAACCGTAAAGAGATATGCATTTCCTTACAAACACAGTGACAATCCAGCACATTTATCCTCGGGCCAGCCCGCCCTGTCCCTCTATCAGAACCACTCCACAGTCCCCAGCAAGGCGGGCCTGCCCTGCTCCTGTCTGCCGGAGGGTTTGTTCTGTTTAAAGAAGCTGAATTCCCAAAGTCACATTTCTTTCTTGTTGGGGACCCTTTGGGCTTTCCCTGAGAGGACCAGATATCTCCTTCAGGCATGACTAAAGGGCAAGTGTCTCCTTAAATAAGATCACCCGCTCACCCCACCATCACCTGGTCAGCATGCTCATGGACACAAAGCATACACCTAGGATTATGCATTAATCCCTTAAAGAGCCAAATGGAGACCCAGGTTAGCAGGGTTCAAGGGCAAATACTGTGTAAGTGTGAGGACACAGGTGTGAAGAGCATCCAAGACTTGTCTGTGCTTCCTATACACGTAAAAGGTCAGGCTTGGCAGCGAAGCACTGCGGAGAAGTGATTTTAAGAGTCATGTTCTACCCTCAAAAAGCTCATACGATTCTTAAGATTTTCACAGCCCCAGCAATTTTTTTCTCACCACCCTTCTCCCTGCCTTCCAGCTGTGCTCAGTGTGTGCATCCATTCAGTCCTGTGTGTCAGGGGCTAGCTCAGAGCTCAGACCAGAGGTGCAGACAGTGGGCCCCAGCCTTGCCCTCAGGGTGCTGGGCAGGTGGGGTGGTCCATACAGAGGGCAGCATGAGGATGCAAAGGCCCAGGAAATGGCGGCCGAGGCCAGGGAAGCGGGTGGGGCCAGGTGGTGGGAATCTGCTACCTGAGGAGCTTCTTGCAGTTGGCCAGGCCTGGGCAGAAGGGTGGTGAGGGATGGGAGTAGAAGGACTGTAGCAGGATGCTCCAGTGTTCTGCAGGAATTCTTCCAGCTCAAGGCTCCCGGCCCTACAGAGCCAGCTCCGCCTACCTCTCTCCTGCACAGCAAGCCAGTGATGTGAGTTGGCCACAGCAGACTGGGCTTGCATGCACCTCAAAATCAGTGGGCGGGCTTCCCTGTCAGCAAGTATTAGCTGAGTCACATCCACGGGACGCCACGTTAGTTTACGGACACATGGAAATGAGAGTATTTAAAAGAAACCCGCGGTGAGTTTTTCTTGACAACTCAATCTCCTGCGGAGTGCAGCTTTTCCTACACAGATGCCTCAAAGTAGAGTGCTGTTTGGCCCTGGTGTGCACACGACCCTTTACCCCACGAAGGCAGAGTCCAGGTTTGCGTGGGCACATTCTCAACCTCAGAGAGCAGTACCACACACAAACCTCCGCTCGACCCTCTGGCGAGGAACTTCATTGGTCTGAGCCACAATTTTTAAAAACTCTAAAAGGAGGATTTAAAAATGCAGACTACCCTGGCTGGGTAGCTTAGGACATCGTTCCGATAGCCCAAGAGTGCAGGTCTGATCCCAGTCAAGGCACATACAAGAACCAACCAATGACTGCATAAACAAGCAGAACAGCACACCGATGTCTCTCTCGCTCTCAAACCAATAAAAGCCCTGCTGTCACTATTCCTTGGGTGAAGAGAGTATACGAGTGACCACCCTAGGAAACACATGAAGGTACCAGCAGGCCTTGCTGAAGGGACACAGCGGCCAGCCGGAGCTGGGGCTGCCAGAGGGCAGAGCTGTCCAGAGGATGCCTCCTGCCTGGCTACTGCCCACGTCGAGTGGGTCTGCCCACTCCAATAATCCCTCTAACACACTACCTTGGTGACCATGTCGACGCCCTTCAATCAGCATGGCGGACCAATGAGGCCTGGCTTTGGCTGGTCCTTCTCCTGAACTTCCCACTGTGCCCTGGTGATGCCGAGCTGAGGGCCCGCCCTGCACAGGCCCGGCCGGCCAAACCTCAGTGCCCACATCTAGCCCCTGTACATTCCCTGAATGTGGATCATGTCTGCCCTTCACCATGCTAGGCCTAGCTACCCCTAGGACCCACTCGCTTTAGCAGAACTGCAGGAAGCTCTGTGTGCACACTGCACGCCGCACCTAGACATCCGCTGGGCGTCTCTGCCACCTCACTCCCTGCACCTAGACATCTGCTCAGCGTCTCTGCCACCCGACTAGCAGCTCCGGGAGGGCCAGCACGCACCTCAGCCACTGTGCTCTCCCGCACGTCCAGCACAGGCCATGTCCACTGTACATTAGGGACATTATAAACGTCTGTCGAACTAACTTTCCCCTCGTGCATGTAGTTGTAAAGTACTCACAACTGGCAGTCGCCCCTCGGCATGCCTCGCTGACCTGCATCCACATGCTCCAGCTAAGGAGTGGCCCAGCCATTAAAGAGGAGGCAAGATGTCTACCAATGACCAACATGAGCCTCAGGGAAGCCCTGCACCAGAGTGCCCCCTTCCAGGTGACATACTGGAAAGGACAACACAGATCTGTTCTTCGGCAAAGACTTCCGTTCAGGTGAGCTTCTCCCTACAACGCTGTCTAAGAGGGCAGCATGTCCTGGAAGAGCTCCATCATGCGGTGCGTGATCGGAGATGAAGTGCTCTTCTTCCTCCTCGGCTCCTGCACACCCCGTGCTGAGCTGGGTAGCTTAGGACATCACCTTAGGACAAGCACAAGCACCCTGACAGGCTAGCCAGAAAGGAAACTGAGGAAACGGTGGGTCTTAGCTCTTAAACTTGGAAAAAACAAAAGGATCAGGAGACTCTGAATGATTTCATAGATAAATCCAAGTTGGAAAACAGTGATGTACAGAAACAGACGTTTAAGATCCCAACAGGAGCCCTAGCTGGTGTGGCTCAGTGGACAGAGCATCAGCCTAAAATGAAGGGTCCCTTGTTTGATTCCAAGTCAACAGGAGATGGGAAGCAGCCGTGGGTGGGAAGGCGTAGGCTTTAGGGACAGACTGGGATTCAGGCTCAGCAGTGGCCCTAACAGTCACAACAGGAGCAAACTAACCCTCCTTGGGCACCTCCCAGGAGTCTCTGGGCACAGAGACAGGGAGCAGCGGCCAGGTGCACATGAGACCTGCCGCAGGCTCCTCCTCCCCGCCAGGCTCTCCTTGCTCACTGTCATCAGGTGTGGTGAGCTGCTGCGGACACGGAAGGCTTCAGATCTATGGAACTCACACACGAACCAGAGGAGACCTCCCTTCTACAAAACTCCACAGCACGAAGCAGCTGATCCCATGCACCTAACACAGGGAGGCTTCTAGAATTCCCGAGAGCAGAATGCAGCCGCTGCTCCTCCAGGTGGGCGTGGCGGCACTCCCTCGCACTGTGGTCGGACCCCAGGACAGCTCTTCCTGCCAAGGCAGGTCGGTGCTCCTGGCTTCGCCGTACATGCCAAACCCCGGCTCTGGCAGGCTGCTTGAGTCAGGGTGAACTTTAGGTTTTGCCCTGAGTTCTATGTAACATAAGAAGCAAAGATTAGCAATGTAAGCACATGAAGAGCAAAAGTAAACATGGGCAACAGAAGGAAGGGAGGGCAGACTGTTTAGTAGATTAGATGTCAGGAGGAGGCAAGGATTTAGAAAGGGGGGTGGGTGTATGCATGAGAGACAGCAGATTAAAGAGACTTTTGGATCATAATCCACCTTGAAGCTATCACAATTATTCCAATTCTGGTGATTTTGCTAGTCTGGTTAGAAACATAGAAATTCTTCCTTTTCAAAGTTAGTGAAATAATATTGTCTAGCAAGGAAAAGCATAATTTCCTTATCTAACTTTTTAAAAAAATGAGATCATTACTCAGAATACTAGAGAATGTTTGCTTAAAGATAAGGTTTCTTTTGGAACAAAGAACTTGTCAAAATTGGAACAAAGAACTTGTCAAAATTTGAATTGCATGTTTTAATAAGTTTGATCTGGCCCTGTCACAGACACATCAGAATAACAGGCTCAATAAAAACATAAATAGATAGATAGATAGATAGATAGATAGCAAACGTCCAGAATCAAAGTGCTCTTCCCAGTGGTTACTCCCAGCTTAGCTCTGCAATCACTTGGGAGCCAGGGAAAAGGTTGGTGCCACCTCCCAGGAAAAGCTGGAAAGACCTTATAAAAAAGGTTTGACAAGCGTTTTAGGCAAATTATGTTTTTGGTAAAAGAGAGGCTCTGATAAAAATTCTGGGGTTTA